ATAAAAGCCACAGATATCTATGAATAAAAGCGTTCACTGAAGAAAATCTGTTTCCGCCCGGTTTCGAACCGGGGACCTTTCGCGTGTTAGGCGAACGTGATAACCACTACACTACGGAAACTCCCGTGTGCACTCCGTCACTGACCTGGACCTGACCGGCTCACAGCGGTCTTGGGCAAGCCCTTTTAACATAAAATAGGATTCACCACGCTTACATTCCAGATATCTGAAACTGAGTTTTGAGTAGACATATTGGTTATTTAAGATATCTTGAATTACATTTTGACTAGTCATAATACTTATTTAAGATATCTTGAATTACATTTTGACTAGTCATAATACTTATTTAAGATATCTTGAATTACATTCTGACTAGTCATAATTACATTCGAGATATCTTGAATTGTAAATACGGATGTTTGACCCGTCAAATGACGAACCAGGTGACGTCATTCAAGATATCTTGAATTACATTTTGACTAGTCAGAATGTAATTGTGCCTAGTCAAAACTCAATTTAAGATATCTAGAATGTAACTACAGATAGTCAGACTACTCGATTTTATGTTAAAAGGGCTTGCCCGGTTCTGTGTCACCTGTTTATACCGCGCTCTCCACGCCCATGTGCGGTTTCCGTAGTGTAGTGGTTATCACGTTCGCCTAACACGCGAAAGGTCCCCGGTTCGAAACCGGGCGGAAACACTTTGTTTTGATGTTTAACTTTTTGTGATTTTTTTTTTTTTTAAACATAATTTATTAAATAACTTTTCAGAAGAAGTTCGGACTCTTCCACGAACGTGATGATCAAAGGTATTTTTCTAAATCTTTTAGCTGTGGTAAAAAAAACTGATCTACTTCCAGAACTTGATGAGTATCCCGGTTCCTGCAGATGTTCCAGCAGATGTTGCTGCAGATGTTCCTGCAGATGCTCCTCCAGATGTTCCAGCAGATGTTCCTGCAGATGTTCCTGCAGATGCTCCTCCAGATGTTCCTGCAGATGTTCCAGCAGATGCTCCTCCAGATGTTCCTGCAGATGTTCCTGCAGATGTTCCAGCAGATGTTTGTGCAGATGTTCCTGCATATGTTTGTGCAGATGCTCCTGCAGATGTTCCTGCAGATGTTCCAGCAGATGCTC